ATTCATTATTTCCATATCAGAATTTTGTTGCAATATGTTGAGGGCTTTAAAGCAGCAGTTACACATCATGTTGGGAAATATAATTTAGAGAAAGTGTATATACACAGTGAGCTGAATAAATAAAATATTTTTAAAAAAAGCAATTAAATATAGATTTTCTTTTTGAGAACGTGTAAAATACCTCCTACTGGTTGTGGTGAGAACAAAAAAGAAATAAAAATCAAAAACAGGAGGCAGATTTTGAAAGAGCTCAGTAAAGTTTAATGTGTTCTGCTAATTTTGTGCTGCTCTTTGTTCTCACCTTTGTCTCTCACTCTTTGTCTTTCTGTCTCCCCCTCTCGCCTGTGTCTCTGTGCATCCACCTGTTCGTGTGAATACCCTTTCCTCTGTTGCTTTCTTTCGTCATCAGTTCAGAGAAAACACCGTGGCCCCACAATTAGCGATGTTTATGAGTTTTTCTCATTTACTGAATCTGTCCCTCTCTCTTTCTCTCCCTCCTTCTCACCTCGCTGAGAGTTTAGCTGTATAATGTGTGGTGTGTGAAGTGACAGGGGATGCTTTATGAATGTGTGAGAAGGCCTTGGCAGTGCCCCTGTCTCCCCACAATAAGATGAGCTGAATAAATCTGAGACACGCCACAGGCTCTCCAGCACCTATAGACACAAACACACACACACACACATATACACAGAAATTTAAGTCAGAGACCTGGTCCATTCCTGGGAAAGAAAACAGCATCATAAAACTCTTATCACTTTAGAGCCCTCCGCACTTCAGCGCATATCCCCATCCCTCTCTGTCTTCTTCTCTCTTTCTTCCTCTCTCCCTCTCTTTGTTTGTCCTTGAGTTGGCAGAGGGTGGTGTCGGCGGGTGGAGTGAGAGGGGGGTGTGAAGAGGTGCAGAGCTTTGATGCTTGTTGGGGCTCACTCAGCTGGGCAGTACTCGGTGCTGCATCTCGTCCCAAGGCTCTGTATAAATTCAACAGCAGTGACAATTTACAGCTCGCGCCCATCCTCGATATGACGCACTGAGCAGGGCGCCAAGCGTGTCTTGTTGCCATCTCACCAAAGTGAGGCTAATTTATTACAGTGTAAAACCCACAGAGCAGAGAGAGGGTGGAGGCAGAGATATAGAGAGGCCTTGGTTTGAGACTTGTGGTATAATGTGGTATAAAGCTGTGGCCAGCGTGACATTGTTTTTTTATTGTATAACTGTGTACTACGGAGCAGTGTTGCAGTATATACTGGAGCATTGTTTTCCCTCGCATTGTGTGCCAAAGAGTTTAGATATTCCATATTTCATCTGGTTTAATATAAAACCTAAGATGCTATTTAGTGTCCAATAACATAACCGTAGTCGTAGAGTTTAGTGCCACTCTTAAAATTGTCCCTCATCCTTCCATGTCACAAAGTTTGGACACCAAAGATATTAAAAAAGTAAGCAAAATCTGCCTCTATCTTCTTGAATCAAATTTACTTTTTAACTGGGTAAAATGTATTTAAATATATGCCATGATGCTTCGAGAAGGTCTTGACAGGGCTTCCTTTGTACCAGCTGAATAAGAATGATGAAGACGATCTCAGTTAATTACATCATGTCACAACTTATGAGATTGAACCCAAAGTTCCCAGGACTGCTGTCTCTTGTAGAAAGAGCTGACCAGCACAATCAGGACTGACCTTCAGAATCCATTAGATTTATGTTGTTTTTCACAGGCACTTTTCTTCTCTCCGGTAATTTACATATTTATCAGAGCTGATCGTAGTTTGACATCCTTTAATTTTATTTTTTTTCCTCTCGACAAGCTGCAAGAGAATGAGCAGTAATGTGCCGTACAGTGCAGTGCGTGACTTTGGCAGGTGAGAAATATGCTGAGGGAGCACTTTGATTTGGAAGTGTGGGCATAAATTTTGCCTCTGCCGCTTTCACTCACTCATTGTCACACAGAACACCCCCTCCTCTGCTCGGCCTCCACCCTCTTACTGTAACCCTCTCTCACTTTCTTTTGCTGTCTTTCTCCTTCTCTTCTCAAGTCTTATACTTATTTCGTATTTTATTTTCTGCCATGTTCTCTGAGCTGCTATGACAGGCCCACAGAACACTGTGATGAGTAAAAGAGGTTCCCTCTCAGCAGTAGGTAGGATTGCCAAACCAGCATGGCTGCAGTGAAGAATTAAAGTCACAAAAACTTTAACGTTAGCCTAGTATGTCCCATTATTTGTGATATATATATTTGTGTTGTTTGAGCTTTTTGGCCAAATTGCATGCAGATACTTGCATTTAGTTGCTGACATTTTGGGCCATAATAAACCTTTCATTTCAAAAGTTAGTGCACCATCTTCTTTTAAGGTTTATAAAACATAATATGGTATATACAGTCTAATGCTCACTCAGCACTGTTGAATGTCCACATAGGTTTCAGAGCGCAGTCCTCACCCAGTCTTGATGTTCTGCTTCTTCCATTTCAGCAAACTAATCTGCACAATTCGCATTTTCTCAACTAAAATCAATGTAGCAGTTTGCTGATTAATTGATTAGTCAATTCATTGTTCAGCAACTATCAATCAATTAATTGATATTGATTCAAGTTTATCAAGCAAACCTGTAAAACATTTGCTGGTTCCTGATTCCTGCATATTTGCTGCTTTTTTCTGTTTAATATTAATATAAATTAAATATCTCTGGATTTTGTAACTAAACAGGCAAATTTAAGACATCACTGTGCACTCTGGGAAATTGTGCTGGGCATATTTGACTAATTTTGATCATTTGATACACTAAATAATGAATCGACTAATCAATAATTAAAATAATCATTAGTTGCAGCCCTAATGTACACACATACAGTATAATACAAACCCAATCATCTCGACACACTGAACAAGGAAAATGTAGCTCATCTAAAAAATACAGATAAATCAATGATGAACTGAATTAAGATTATTACTTCATATTAATGAAATGGCAGTGATGTTGATATTCAGCCACAGCAATCCACATGAAAGGCATTTATTGTTGAAACACTGTTGTTCTTCCCTCCTGCTACAATCTCCAGAAACTGGCTACAAAGACAGAAAGAGTTCCAGGCAATAGAGTTAGATCATTTGTGTTGCCTTAGAAAGCTACCTTTCAGTCTGATCCCTTGCCTCCTCTTTCTCTTTTACTTCTGTCTTTAGTTCCCTCTCTGTCTCCCTCTCAAGACAGCTACCCCGCCTGCTGATCTCTACTGACACCTTGAGGTCAGGAGATGCTGCTGCAGTGCTGTGCTCTTGAGACTCAACCATGACTTGACCCCAACCTTTATGTTATATGTCACCCACACCTATGCCAAAAATTAGATTTTCCTTTATGTATAGCCTTGCTATGGTACTTGGTTCCCCCAGGTCCCCTCTGGGTGTTGGTGTGCCTATGGAATAGTGGGACTTAATTTTGTGCTACATTGCTTGGCTGGGCACAGCCAGATACAGAGGAATGCAGAGATACAGACACATAAACACAACAACTACTTGGGGAGCATTTGTGAGAGCCCTGAGGAGTCACAGTCTCTCTCTCTCTCACACACACACACACTCAGAGTGATGTGGGATAAACAGTGGATCCATTGTAAGCTCCAGGAGCCTGCTGTAAGAGATTGTTTTGATGAAGCAACAAGGGTACACTAGCACTGAGACTAAATGTAGCATGGCCACGATGGTTGAATTCCCCAACAGTCGGGACCTTGGCAGCTGCCTCTGGTTTGGCTCACAACTTTCTGGGTTCTTGGTTTTACTGTAGGGATAATGCTGTGTGTTTGTCTGCCTATGTTTTTTTCTTTCCTGATTGCAGCGTTGTGTACAATGTGTGTGTCTTTGTGGGTGTGTGTCTGTGTGGGTGTGTGTCTGACTGTGTATGTCATGGCTGTGCTCTGTACCAAGAGCCCGTGTGGTGGCCTGGGGTCGAGGCCAAAGTAGAATTTCTAAGTGATGGAATTTCACAGCCACCGAGCACCCAGCGGCCGGCCAAACCGCAAGCACTCACATTTACAACAAACGGCCCGCCCCGCTCCACGGAGACTCCTGAATGGCAAAGCCATTTGTCTCTGTGAAGGGCAGAGAGGGAGAAAAGCGAAATAAAATCAGAGGGAGAGTACTTAAATGGAACAACGCTTTTTTGTTTTTGTTTACGACCCCTAACACTCAAACAGACACACATGTACACACTCACACACAGAGTCACACACACACTGCTCTGGGGCTAAATTGGAATTAAGGAGAAGGAAAGGTGCATAGCCTGTTGCTAATTAGCATTTTCTATGCTCAGCAGAAGCTGGTGGAAGAATCGATAAGATATTAAGTTTGTGTATAGCAATGAGGCACACAATCACTTTCATCTATTAGCAACAGCAGATTTGAGGAGAAACACTGGCCAAGAAAACAGCAAAATTTTGACCTCTGTGAGTGGAGACTGTTTCTGTTACTCAGTCCGTCTATTTTTCAGTATCTAAGGAATGTGAAGAATGATCCTCAAAATATTTACAGTAATACAACAGATTAACATAACCTCTCACAACTGGGGGTTAATTTAACCTTTAGAATAGAGGATTCTATCTTGAGAGTACTTTTGATCCTGGCTTCAAATACACCAAAGACATCTATGAAATTTACTCTCAAACATTTCACAGCAGGTAGCAAATAAGACATTTAACCACATTCTCATCAGTCTTATGTAATTATAATTTTTAGATGTAGTCATATGTCCAGAATACAGAAAAAACACCTCCAATCCAAGACCTCTTATTTTTCTCCAAAGAGAAATTTCTCTATTTCAACATTTGTCAGATTTGACGTAATATGTTGAAAGGTTCATTGACCCTTATGTTGGTGACTGAAAATACTTAAAAAGTGACCAAGGTACAACTCATCTGTCCAACTTCCTCTGCCAAAGAAAAGTTAAAGCAGGGGAGAAGAGAAGTGTCTGGCCAGAGAGAAGTCTTCAGCCAGACCTGAAGACTTCAATCAAAGATGACCTCTATCAGGTCACACCTGTTGCTGGCTGATCCCGACCTCTGTAGATGTATAATTCACCTTGCCTGTTGAATATTCTGTAACCGTGTGTTGGTTTGATGTTTGATTCATGTGTGTCTGGCTGAAAATTGACGACCAGGTCAGTGTGTGTTTTGACCCAGCCTCGCACACTGGAACACTGGACTGTAATAGGTTACTTGTATATTTAACTCCGACACCAACTTTAGATAATGACATTGTAGTCCATATTAGACTACAGTGTTTTTAGGATTGCTTTCAACAAGTCTGCTAGAACTTTGTGTATTAACACCTCATTCTACCTTTGACACTCTGTCTTTACTTTTCTTTACACCTTTCTCCACCTTCCTCCCTCTCACTGCCTCCTCTCTCTTCCCTTCAGACCATCACCAGAGTCCAGAGAGGGAGAAGAAGCTGGTCTTCCTTACAGCTCGTGTTCACCCTGGAGAGTCTCCTGCCTCCTTTATCTGTCAAGGTAAGGTTTTAATGTATGGTCGGTGCCCTGTCTCGTTGATTTGATTCAGATGCAGCACCACCGGTCTGTATGTTGTTTGATAGTGCTCACCAACATGTGTCGGTTTTCATTATATGTAGTGATCTAAAAGTTGATATACATTTTCATTTACACTATTAATGGTCTGTGTATTATTCAATATATGCTCTGTATTGAGGACAGGGGCAGATCTAGGATTTTTCTAAACCAGGGGCCACAAAGGAGACAAATTTTACACCGCAATGTCCAGTATTATGCGGGAGGTCTACGCTTTTTGGAAAGAGAAACACAAAATTCAGACAGATTCAGGCACCAGACAACAATGGTATTTATTGACAGAAGTACAAATTCCCCCAATCCCTAAAGCTAAGCTTCATCTAAATGCTGAAATATTTTTGGAAATTGTTAACACAAAGCAACAGAGGCGAAGCTATCTCGATTTTAGTGCATAGAATGGGTCAAGGTCCAAAAATGATGGATCCTACCTTCTCCACAATGCAACTCAGCAACATCTTTTGTTAGATTTCCCCTGCTTGGTAAATAACATCATCTTTCAAACTTTATGTTCCAGTTTTTAATCGAGGTATTCAGTTAGAAATTTGAAGTCTCTAAGCCCAAGCAGATATAAACCTGTTGACATCATCAGGGTCATTTCAAACTTAAAAAAGCTCCCTCCAGATCCACAGATGATAATGCACAACTCTTTTTAAAGAGCTGAGTACTCCCCAGGCTTCAGGTATAAAAATTAACTTCAGGACTGGCCCTTGAAATTTCACACAATTTTCAGTAACTACTTTTGAAACATGCTGAATACAGTATAAACTCTCCTGTTCATCCATTCTGAAGACATATGCTCTGCATCTGAACTTGAAATGTGCTACTGTTATAGGAATAGGTACAAGAACCTGTGTTTTTGTATAATATCTCAAGAAACACAATCTAAGGATATCATAGGGTTGCGCTGTCTTCACTCCAGAGCTCCGCTAGCTCAAAACTAATAAAATAGCCTGAAAAACTGGGAACCTTTGGGAAATTGTCTCCTTGTGCAACAACCTAAAATACAGTTTTAGCAGGATTTAATGACTCTTTGCTCCCTTTGTCATGCTCAGACTGAGGTGAGTAGGCAGGTTTGCTCCATCTGGGTCCCACTTCCTTGTTTATAGGTAACAGGTCTGAGGAGGGGAGGGCTGGTGTGATAAAGGGACAGAGGTTACCTTTAGCAGTGGTCCCTGTCCACTACTTTGACTCAGTAAGACAGACTGAGGAAAGTCCATTAATGTTAACAAGGTGTAGAGACGTTTGTGAGGAAGGGACAGATGCAGAGTTGGTAGATCTTTCTATGTCTCTATCTCTCTATCTTACAGTCGTATCATCTATCCATATCTATATCTATATCTCTATCTATATATCTATATATATATATATATCTATATCTATATATCTCTCTATATATATAATCTACCTACAGTATCAGTCTATCTGTGTGTGTGTGTGTGTGTGTGTGTGTGTTTCAGTGTGTGTGTGCATCATCATGAATCAGATGAGTTGGCTTCTAGCCCGCAGTGTGCTGTCTGTTTTTCCAGCGCCGTCAGCTCCATTCCATTTGTATCGATTTAGGCTTGACGTCTTCTATTCCTTCCCTGATTCTGACGATGCCCCTCGCTGTCCTTCCCTCTCCTTTTGTTTCTCAAAACTCAATTAACTGCCAGCCCGTCTTTGGTTTTCTTTTCAAGTGTATTTCTGTGTGTGTGTGTGTGTGTGTGTGTGTGTGTTTGATAGGTGTGATTGACTTCCTGGTGAGCCAGCATCCCGTGGCTCAGATCCTAAGAGATCATGTGATCTTCAAGATCGTCCCCATGCTAAATCCTGATGGAGTCTACCTGGGCAACTACAGGTACACAAACACGCATCTTTAATTCTTCATTTGAATGCCTTGCTACATTACATAGAATTCACACATTACATGGTTTTATATCCTGCTACTTGGGATTATAGCCTCTTAACTCCACCTTTAGGGAGTTTAATGAATTCATATAGCTCACAGCAGTGCATTTGTTAGAAGATAGTATTTGGCCGTAGGGCTGTTCTCTTTGCCAGTCTCTGTCCACCCTCTCCTCCTCTCTGTCTTTAACACTATTGCTGCAGCTCTGTGGGCATCCTCCTCTCCTCTATTCTCTTTCCCTTCTTCATAATTGCCTTTTACTTAATAGGCTCAGCCCCATGAATACTAATGCACACTGAGATAAGCATCAGCAGTGTACTCCCAGTGTGTTTGTGAGTGCCATCTAGTGGCGGTGTCTCTGCACTGCCTCCAAAAATATTTGCTGGGAATCTCAGTTGCTCCCCAACAGTGACAATCTCTATAATATTGCTGACTGTGATTGGTGACTGCTTAAAGGCTATTTTCATTAGCTTGCTTTCACACTGAGTGGTGACGAGCAGCATATTGACAGAAGGTGAGCCGAGATAGTCTTCACCTCACCAACCACACATGCTCATTTCTACACATGCATGCACTTTCTCCCAATCTCTCTCTATAACGCACACGCAGACAGGCACACCAATACCACACAGGCATCCCGACAGGATACAGTGCGGAGCAGACTGAAACGGATACATGCAGAGCAAAGAATCGATGTCAGTTAACCTGGGATGAGTATTTTGTTCATGGCTGGCTGCTCTGCTCAGTTGCTCTAAAGTATCAGTAACTCCTGTATCATTACCAAGGGCTTCAGTAAATGTCAAAGATACAGATGACAACAAACAGGGCAGCGCAGGGTGCATCTTTATATACAAACATCCCATTATGACAATTACAGGTTGCCAGTAACACTAAAGAGTAGTACCTCTATCTACCACCTCAATACAGTACCTGTTGACATTTTACATATATGTAAAGGCCTATCTATCTATTACAAGTCCCCAAAAGGTCACAGGGGGAATGTTTTTTTGTTTTTTTTTGCTTTGGGTTCACACACATCAACTTGTATTTAAGCAACAATACTCTTGTTAACTCCACACTCCAGTTCTGAGTTAACTCAGTAGCTTGTTATGGTTGTTTAATGTCTGAATCAGTCTAAGTCTAAATATCTTAAGTCAGCTGGAAGGGTAAATAGTAAGAAATATTATGCTTTTGGGGAACCATTGCAAATAAAGCAAACAATGAATGACATTTTTTCCAACTGTGTCCTATCATAATCTATTCATCATGGACCTGTAACACTTTGGCAATTTGTTGTTGCCAGACCGCACTGTAGCTACTAGTGCACCCCGACTAATTTCAGATGCACCTTAAGTAATTTAGTTGTGGAAGTGTGCCTGGTTTTCTTGCTAGCAGTCTTCTTCTTCCTTGCCTATATTGGCGGCTTATTACTGCTACCAACTGTTGACCAGTGGAATAGTGATAAAACTATTGGCATCGACTTTTAGAAACATTGCTCCATAGCACTGCTGGTGTTCAAAAACTCCACAGGTTACCTTTAACCATTTTTTAAAGGTATTTTCAATAAAACACTCTCTCTCTCTGTGTGTGTGTGTGTGTGTGTGTGTGTGTGTGTCTGTGTACAGGTGTTCTCTGATGGGCTTCGACCTGAATCGCCACTGGCAGGATCCCTCTCCATGGGCCCACCCCACACTGCACGCTGTCAAACAACTCATAGTGCAGATGAACCAAGACCCTGTGAGCGATCACACACACACATACAAACACACACACACACACACCTATGCACACATGTCCTCCATACTGTGCTCCACATTCCTTCACCACAGTAATGTCTACTGGTCCCAAGCAGTTTTCTGCCTCCCTGCTTGGTTCAGCATGTTCTTCCAATCTGTGTTTAGGGTGTGTGCACTGGGGAGCATGGATAGGCTAGTCAGCACCTCTAGAATGTCAGCTAGACTCTCCTGGCCATTCAAAACATATTACTGAAGCAAGTCTCTACGCTTTCAGTCTCTAACTCTACTGTAACTTTTTCCTTCTCCAGTTTTAGTCTTTCAGTCAGAGGAATGCTACACAGGCAGAGCAGGGATTTTTCTCTTTGTTCCTGATGTTAATTATAAGCAGAGCGGCAGGTTGGTGGGATTATTGAAGGTCAGGGTGTGTCCTGGGAATACTCTGCCCTTTTGTACACTCCTCTAATCCTGATAAGAGGGGGAGCGGGCTGGGGCGGGATGCAGGGCAGGCCAGAGATGGGGTGAAGCACGGGGCTGGCATCAGGCAGATTAACCTTTTCCCCCGGCGCTGACACACTGATCGATAGACTCTGTCATGGCAGGGTGATCCACTCATGCCTGTCATTCACACACGTACACAAACACACACATATTCATCCTAAGCACACAGACACATACACAGACACACACTAACACTTCATCGCACAGCTAGAATACTGCAATACGCAGAAAAACAGGTGTTCTCAAATGCATGAGTTTCCCCTGCCAGCATGGGTATTTTTCTCTCTCAGATGCGTACTTTTACAAATAAATTGTAAATCACACCATTATATAGAGCAGTGGTTGCCAAATTTGTTGTGTTAATTTTTCAGACTTTTATTGTGATATACTGTATAATTGTACATGCCTCTTCAGGCTTTGATAAAAGTAGTAAATTAGTAAATTATGAAATAGGTGACAAGATTTCACCAGCAGATTCATATTGAGAGGCTACAAGCAAAATTAGGTTGGGGACCACTGAAATAGTTTCATTGCCAGCACATTTGCATATATTCAGTGTCATACACATTGAATTCATGCCAGATTTTTACATATATTGCTAAACTCTAATAAAAGAACTTAATTTCTTGCCACCACAATGACTTTAAGTTCTCTGGCTGGGCAAATGCAACACAGGACTGGGCCATATGTCCAATCCTGCTGGTCAGATGCCTCCCATTCCCTCCTTTTCTTTGTTGATAACCATCCCACCAGCACTTGTCCTCCTGTAGCCCCCCCCCCCCCCCTCGATGATTGCCTTCAGTCTTGCAGAGTTAATTTGGAGGCTTGGGCAACCTCTCCTCTTCTGTCTCTCTCTCACCACAGCCAGTTAATCCCATCAGACACACTACTCATGTCTGGGGCTCCCAGATGCCAGTTTCAATGCCAACTCTGCAGCCAGGAAGCCCTGTGCTGCTGCCCTCCATTCATGCTCATCTCACACAGTGAGCATGGAGTCTAATGAGGCTACCAGGGTTGGAGGGCTCCGCTGGAGGACTCCATTAACTGGAGATCAGCCGAAGCTACAGAAGAACAGTTGGGCTAAGCTAGCATATGTGGCCCATTCATTAGCTGCTAACTCAAAGGGGTAATTTTTTTAGGAGGCAGGATTATTAAACAGATTATTATCATATTTAAGGTATTTTGTCAAACACTATATTCTATACACTACAATTGTACCTCTAAATTAGCGTTTGCATTACATTAATAACAAAACCACACAATGTTGATGAAGTGTGACATTGCAGCAGCCGCTGAGGTATCATGTGGAACACTGAGCCCCAGCTCATGAATTACAGTAAAAAAGTGTGGAGAACTCTTCCCTGGGATTCAGCGAGACACTCACACAGGTGGTCAGCAGGTGGCTGGGGATCAACAAGTCAGCTAATAGAGTTTTCAATATCAGCACTTTTTTGTCATGTTTGTAATGTTGTTGTTGCTTCTATTAACTTTGGTAAAGGGTGTTAACAATGCAGGTATTGATGCTGTCGCTGTAACAGGATATATACAGTAAATGTTAATGGTGTCTGTAGGCTACAGTAAATTAAGCACCGTTAAATTTGTATAGGCATTGTTACATTCTCTCAATGTTTCTCCATTCACATTGCAATAATCTGTTTCTCAACCCAAGAGAAACAAACCCCAGAGTTAAAAAAAATACCACAGAGGTCGTCGTAGTCTCTTGGAGTTACAGCTTTAACTTTTAAGTTAAATGTGGTGGTAGGCATGAGGCTGTCATTTTGTTTTAGTGTTTACAGTTTGAATTCGGATGATACCTGTTGAATTCAACACAAAAATGTTTTATTTTGACTTTATATAAAATGTACTGTAATTGTACTTGGCTTCATCTGTAGATTATCATAAATCTTGACAGAAAATCCTGGTTACAATGGGAACAAGGAAGTAAAATCATGTTTTTGATAGATGTGCATCTCTACCATCCCACATGAGAATTCATGCTCTTGGGTGGTTGCCTGGTGATACATCTCTAATAGTTGTTCAATATGTGCTTTTCTCTGAGTGTCAAGACTAAAAACTCTGTATGCTGGTGGCAATAAGTCATAATATGAGGGCTGTTTTATCTTTGTAAGATTACTGTTCAGTGGTATGTTCCCATCTTCAGTAAATTTAGTCCAGATTGTTAGAACTAATTGAATTCAAGGTGCAGTGCAAATTTGCTTTGGGCCTTTATGTACATAAATCTGACCCTGACTTTTTGTCAATCACCATGACTTCTTTACTACGTTAGATACCCACAGTTCTATGCATAAGGCATCATAATTCAAAGTCACATTGCGATCCGTTGCACAAAGGAGCCCATTCAGTTTGAAACCCCATCAACCATTCTTGTGACAGACACCCTCGTCACTCCAAAGCGATCCTCCATCATTGTGAATTCAACAGCATTCTCTTTCTGCTGGGAAAATAGCTTCCTTGTTCTGTTCAGGGCAATAACTTCCCAGACAAGTGCCATTTAAATCAAAGCTTGTAGCGGGAGCAATCTACGCTGCATTGGTATTGATGGCTGGAAACTTTTATATGACAAATATTTGTATATAAAACACTGCTCAGGACATTTGCATTCACATATGTTTATCCAAACTCTGTCCTGAACAACAAATGATGTTTTAAAATCAGTAACTTAAAGTCCCATCAGCCAGCTCACTTGGAACGGTTATATTAATATATAAATACCGAGTATGTACTGTTACAGTTTGGCATCAAGGCTATAAATTTGTAAGTCCTCACAAGATTCAGCTGGCAAAACACAGTCTGGGAAATGATGATGACTAATATTCCCCCTTCAAAGAAAATTAAATCATGTTACTCCGCAGCTGAAAATAGTCCTCAACAAATGCACTGTATGAGTGAATGTGCATTCATCATTATAACAAAGTCATAATTTACACCTGTTTTGAGTAATGTTGTGATGTAAAAAGTTCAGTTGTTTTAGGAGATTAGTTATTATTTAAAATTAAACTATACAGTTGTGAGCCATGTAAACCACAGGAGCAGATATTAAGCTCATAAGCTCGATTGTGAGTAGGTTGATTTCTGCCCCCAGTGGTCCAAAATTGCTTCATGCAGCTTCAAAGGACCAGTGTGTAGGATTCATTGACACTGAAGAAACTAAGGTGGCCACAAAACCTGTGAAAAATGCAAAAGTCTACAGCCAGTGTTTGGTTTGTCCGTTCTGGGCTACTGTAGAAACATGGCGGTTCAACATGGCAGACTGCATAGACAAGGACCCACTCCCTATAAATAAAAACATCTCATTCTAAGGTAACAAAGACATAATGATTGTTATTTTCAGGTTATTATACACAAATGAACTTACCTATGCATATTATATTCCATTTCTACCAATAGATCCTCCTAAATGTTACACAATGGACCTTTAAAGGGATCTTGCCAATATTATTCTCATAATAAATACAGTAAGAAATGTAAAATAGAAGAGTGACCATGTACAGCCATTGTGTGACTGACAGCTACGTAAGTATTTGCTCATAAGCTGGCTGTAAACTTCTCCATCTATCTGAAGGCAACCTTGCTCAAGCTGTTTCATAAAATTCCATCATTTACCATCTGCAGCTGAACATTGGTCAGCAGGGAAAATGGCTGAAAGAGGCAGTGATGCAAGGAGCTATAATCTGTTCCCAAGCTACCCTGTTGTTTGTTTTGAAAAGAGAGAAATGGAGAGGGAGAAAAAAAAGGAAAGAGACCAAGGAAACAAATGGACCCATCTCCTTCCTAAAGCGTTGCTTTTCCAGCTCATTTATCAAAAGCAGAAGAAGAATTCTTTTTGATTGGCTGATTACCAGGAGCATTCATCACTGGCCGACATATCCTCACCAATTTGACACTGCCATTTTGGATAATTTGTTAAGGATGACAAAGAGGTCATTGTTGCCTTGGCTTCTTTTTGACCTTTTTAATATTAGAAAATTAATTTTCAATCTGAAACAAATGTATTAGGTCCTGTCACTGCACCTAGATGAATTTTGCACCTTGAAATCCTCCCTAATGCCCTCCTTCTGTAACTCCTACAGCCTCTACACTCCAGTCTCTCTCTGCCTCCGTCTCTTTTTATTTGTTCAACGGTCAGATTTGCCTTATGTGTCAAGTTGCGATTCAGTCTGTGTGTGTTATTTTGTGTGTATCTGTCTTTTTCTCTACCTCCCTGTCTTTTCTCTCCTCTCGCTATGTGCGTTGTCCTCTGGTGTCAGCCAACCATTTCTGATCCATTTCTGAGATTTACGGCCAATTTTACCCCATCATTCCTGCATCGTTTCAATCCCTCCATCATCCCTGTCTTTATTCTCCCTCAGTTTGAATCTGAATTGTCGACTTTTCACAGGAAGATACAGATGAAGCTGTTACACTCAATTGTATGCTTTTTTTCAACTTAGTTCACAGGCTTTTTACATTATCTTTTTTACGTAATAGTTCAAATTATTTTTT